CATTTGCTAGTTTTCATTCTAATCTCAGTTATTCTAGAATGTTCTTTTAAATTCAGATAAATTCCTATTTGCCAAAGATCCATCTCCCTATTTCCAAATGTCTGTCTTTTATTTTTCTCTTTAAATTATTTATGCTTTGGTTTTCATGTAAGAGAAGCCATGTAATATTGAAGGTTGTGTGTCTGATTTATTTCACAACATTATTTCACTTAACATTCTGGTCTCAAGGTACATCCATTTTCCTACAAATGACTTGAGTTTATCCTTTACAGCAGAGTAGAATTCTGTTGTGTATAAATCCCCCATTTTCTTTATCCATTTGTTTGTTGATGGACATATAGGCTACTTCCAAGATTTAGATACCGTGAGTTCTATTGCTATAAACATGGACATGTATGTCCCTGTATTATTTTTGTTGTTGTTTTTGTTTTTGAAAGACAGGGTCTCCCTTTGTAGTGCAGGCTTGCCTTGAGCTCACTATGTACCGCAGGCTGGCCTCAAACTCCTGGCAATCCTCCCCCTCAGCCTCTCAAGTGCTGGGATTACAGGCCTGCACCACCACACGTAGCTATGTATCACTGTATTATAATTTCTTGAACTTTTTCAAGAAGACACCTAAAAGGCAAGAACCATCTACTCTTTATTTACAGATACTGTATAACAAAATCTACTTTTAGACAAGTGCTATCTAGTCTGAGCCAGACAATGTAATTTTAAGTTATTTAGTCAACACTTTTTATTATTTTAAGATGGGGTGTGATTATGTTGTCCAGCCTGGCCTCAAACTCAAGATTCTCCTGCCTCAACCTCCTGAATGGCCATACACCACGATAACCTTATTTTTAAAAGTGAAACAGCCAGAATTAGTTTTAGTAATTTTTTTTCCTATACTGAAGCTAGAACCCAAGGGCTTGCACATGTTTGGCAAGTAAACACTCTACCATTGAGCTACATTCCCAGCCCTTTTACTTTTTATTTTGAGGCAGGGTTTCAGGAAGTTTGCTCAGATAAGCCTCAAATTTGCAATCCTCCGGCTTCAGCCTCCTGAGTAGCTGAGATTATTAGGTATGTGGAAGGAGCCACACCCGTCTTAATACATTTTATTTAATTCAATATATCCAAAATATTTTACCCTACCTAAAGTATCACTTCAATATATAATCAATATATTAATTCATTTAGTTTTTGTACTAAATTTTTAAAATCTGAAGTGTGTTTTATACTTGTAGCACATTTCAGTTTTAACTTGTTACATTTCAGGAGCTGAGTAACCACATGTAGTTAGTGGTTACCTCACTGGACAGTACAACTCTTGACTTAAATCATTAGAGAAATAAAGTTGGACCCTATCAATTACGATCCCCGTAGAATTGGTTGTACTCAGTTTCCCTTTAGTATAATACAAAAAGACAGCCACAAGTTCATTTATGTAGTACTATAGCAACAAATTGAGATTAACTTTTTTTTTTAAGTTTCTGTTTTGTTTCTCTCAAGATTTATTTCTCTATCAAAGGTAATGACAAGCAAGGTTTAGAAGAGGAAAAGGAAGTCAATTTAGCTGACTCTAAATTTTGAAATTATAAAATACTAAAATAGAAACCTAAAAAAATACCAATTATATGATGCATTCATTTATAGACATGAAAATTAGTACCCAAGGAAATTTCATTATGTAACCATAGCCAGGTTAGTGTGCAGGTAGAATTAAATACAGATCTCTGATCCTCAGGAAGTTTTGGAGATAAAAGTTACTTTAGTTTTTTTTTTTTGGTACCAGGTTTCGAACTCAGGTCCCTGCACTTGCACAGCAGGCAGGGAAACCACTGAGCTAAAATCCCCGGCCCAAAAGTTACTTTAAATGAAGTTGAACCTACAAGTTATATGGAAAATTTAGTGCCTCTATCTTACTCGATACAAATATGTCTCAGTTTCTAGAAGGACAAAGAAGAAATAGAAAGTAATATTAATTTTTTTTTTGATACCAGGGATCGAACTCAAGACCTTGCACTTTCAAGGCAGGCAGCAGAACCACTGAGCTACATCTTTGGCCCCAGTAGTACTAATTTTTAATGAATATTTTAGGAAGTTGGATTATGTATGTAGCTATCTACTTTTCTCCTGTAATGTTCATTATAAATAATTTTGTGTCCAAAACTATTGTAAAATAGACTTTATCTTTTAAGGTACTTTGAGATGCATAGCAAAATTAAGTAGAAGCCACAGATTTCCCAAAACCCCTAAAAATTAATAACCTGTCCTGTTATGAGTATCCTCCACCAGAGGTACATGTATTTCAATTGATGAATTTACATAAAGGTTCATTGTTGGTCTGTATGTTCTGTGTTTGCGAGAATGTGTAATGATGTGTCCAGCGTGCAGAGTGTTTCATTGTCCTAAAAATGCTCTTAGCTCTGCCTCTTCAGTCCTCCTCCCCCTGCCCCTCAGCAGCCAGTGACCTTTTTATTGATTCACGCTTTGGCTTGTTGCACAGTTCCATTCATACAGTTGGAAACCTCCCAGAGTTCTGGGATTGCAGGTATGCATTCTGCACACGTCCTTTATTATGTTGATGGCTCCTTTATTATTAGCACTGAATAATATTCCATTGTCTTGAGGTATCAGAGCTTATTTAGCCATTCGCCTACTGAAGGACATGTTGGTCATTTCCTAAGTTTTTTAGTTATTGTGAGTGAAGCTGCTGTAAACATTCCTGTGCATATGGTTGTGTGGACATATATTTTTGTTTCTTTTGGGTAAATACTAAAGGATTGCTAAGTCACATAGTAAGAGGATATTTAGTAAAAGAAACTGCCAAACCGTGTTCTAAAGTGGCTATACCACTTTGCATTTCTACCAGCAATGATTGAGAGTTCCTGTTGTTCCGCATTCAGCATTTGGTATTGTCAAATACCAAATGTGTTCTGGATTTTGGCCATTTTGATAGATGTGTAGTGGTGCCTCACTGTTTTACTTTGCATTTATTTGCCTGATGACACATAATGTAGAACATTTTTTCATATGTTTATATGCCATTGTATATCTGTGGGTATGTGGGGATTGAACCCAGGGCCTTCACACTGTGCTACGGTCCCATCCCTTTTTTAGTTTTTTTTTTGTTATTGTTTTTTGTTTTTTGGTACCAGGGATCAAACTTGGGACCTTGCGCTTACGAGGCAGGTGCCGGAACCACTGAGATAAATCCCCAGCCCATAGTTTTTATTTTGAGACAAGGCCTTGAATTCACAGTGACTTTCTTGCCTCAGCCTCTTGAGTGGTGAGACTACAAGTGTGTGCCACTATATCTGGCATTTATCATGTGTCTTGTAAAACATTTTCTCCAAGTCTATGACTTCCTTTTTATTCTCTTTCTCTCCTTTTTTTTGGTAGTACTAAAGGTTGAACCCAGGGCTTTTCCTCTAAACTACATCCTCAGCCCTTTTTTATTTTGTACTTTGAGACAGGTCTTGCTAAGTTGGTCCAGGCTGGACTTGAACTTTCCATCTTCCTGCCTCAGCTCCCCAGAGTGCTAAGATTGTAGACAAATGCCTTCAGAACCAGCTCAGCAGAACCTCCGTCACAGAGCAAAATTTTCTAATTCTCATGAATCTCACTTACCAGTTCTTTAATTCTTTACTAATGCCTATGTTGTATCTAAAATATAGCCAAACCCACGATCATCTAGATTATGCTATCTTCATTTTTTTGTTTTTGTTTTACATTTAGATGTGTGATCTGTTTTGAGTTAATTTTTGTGAAAGGTGTAATGTCTATTTCTAGATTCATTTTCTAGGTCATATTTTTGTATGTAGATATCCAATTTGTCCAGACTATCAAAAATACTTTTCCTTCCATTGTTTTGCCTTTGGTTCTTCATCAAAGATGGTTGACTCACCTTACATGAGTCTGTTTTGGGGCTCTCTGTCCTATTCCCTTGATCTGTTTGTCTCTTCTTCTGCCGGTTACCACATTGTCCTTATTACTGCAGCCTTATGGTAAACCTTCAAGTCAGGTAGTGTCATTCCTCCAGCTTTATTCAGGCTGTCCTAAATACACCACCCTTTTGCCTCAGCCTCCCTAATGCTGAGGCTATGGGCATGCATCACTGCCCCCGGCAGTAGTTCTTTGATTTTTTTTTTTTTTTTTTAATTTTTAAAGACAGAATCTCTATGTAGTTCAGGCTGAGAAAAATCTTACTAAATCAGAGGGACATAAAAAGATTATTCAGGGGTTGAAGGTGTGGTTCAAAGGCCCTGGGATTGATTGCCACCACAGGGCCTGGGGATTGAGGGAGATACTGGTTGTACAAAAGTGTAACCATAAAAGAAAAATTTGATAATGTGACCTTACCAAATTAAGATCTTCTGTAGTCAAGTCTTATGAAGACAGTAGTAGAAAGGCAAGCCACACAGAGAAGCTAACATGAAAAAGGTGGAATGTATCAAAGTGCTGATAAGGGATATAGATCAGCAGTGGCAAACCTGTGGCATGCGTGCCACAGTGGCCCATTTGTTATCATTGAAAGCTCTAAAAGATTTGCTGTTTCTGTTACAGGGCAACAATTTTTTATATATTACTGATAGGAGTATTATTACAATCACTTGTTTTCCATATCTGTTGAATTGTGTGAAATTTAGACATTTGGATATATCTGCCTCTACCGTAAAAAAGACATGTTAATAACAAAAACAAAAACATTGGTTCTTTTTCATTCCATTGTATATGACTAGATAAACCATTAAATTTAGGGTTGTTAATTATATCTTGACATGACAAATTAGTACCTCTAAAGGAATGACTAGAAAAGATTTCTTTATGAAATCTTAAATGACTTTTTGTTGAAAAAGAAGAAAAGTAAAAGTTATGTTTTAGAGCCAGTCATGAAATAATATGAATAACTGCTCTTTCTCTTCTTACCAAGAGAATGTTCTTTCGGAAGTGTATAGTGACATAATTATAACAGATAGATATCCTAATCCATTACCTGTTATTCTTTTTAATAGTCAAGTCCATCATCTCCAGAACCAGCTAGTCTTCCTACAGAGGATATTAGTGCAAACTCCAATGGCCCAAAACCGTCAGAAGTTGTACTGGATGATGACAGAGAAGATCTTTTTGCAGGTAATTGTCCTATCTTTATTTTTTTTATAAAGGTCAATTGTAGTATGTATTGTGTTAGAAAATAGTCACTAAGCAAAACTGAAATTCTGTGTATTAGTTGTAACTTTTCTTTGTAACAACTTAGGGAATTTCCAGTTAGATCATTCTGTGAAAAATATGACCTGTTAAGAGAAGCAAATATATAGTCTTTTCTGGTTTTAAGCATTTGAAAAATAAATTACATGTTAGAATTTGATTGTTTTGATCAGTCCAAAATTAATGGTTGTGGTGTTCATCCTTTGAGAAATGACTGATTCTTTTTTACAAATTGCTTACAAATTGTCACAAAACAAAATTAAACTATAGACTTAAAAATCACTTTATTTCTGCTTGTAATTTTAGTAAATTGCTGTACCTGTTTCATATTGACATTTTTATTTTTTCTTTTCTCTTTGGTTTTTTGAGACGGGGTCTTTCTGTGTAGTTCAGGCTGGCTGGCCTTGCCTTGAACTCAAAATGTAACCCAGGCTCCTCTCAAACTTGCCGCTGTCCTCCTTCCTCAGCCTCCTATGTGCTGGGATTACAGATGTGTATCACCTAAATTATTTTGATTTACTTCTAAGTGAATAAATTGATGCTTGAGGAATTTTTTTGGATATTGGGGCCAGATAGGTGTTTTCCATCCTATCTTTAAAAAATTGGACTCTCTTCAAAACAACTATCCCTTAAGGTTAATACAATTTAGGTACAGGTTAATATTTTTCTTTTTGTTGTTGTGTGTTTGTTTTTGTTTTTTGAGACAGGTTCTTGCTGTGTAGTTCAAGCTGGTTTTGAACTCACTGTAGAGCCCAAGCTGTCCTCAAACTTGGGGCGATCCTTCTGCCTCAGCCTCCCAAGTGCTGGGATTATAGCAGTCATGCTGGTGCACACCTGTAGCCCCAGCACTTGGAGGCTGAAGCAGGAGGATTGTGGAGAATTCTAGGTCAGCCTGGGCTACACAGTGAGTTTTTTAAAACAACTACATAGTGAGACCCTTTCTCATAAAACCAAAGGTGGGAGAGGTGGGGGAGCCCTTGACTTCTATAATTGCCCAGGATTCAAAACATCCTGTATTCTTTGTACAAATATGTTTGAAGGTACAATTCCTCCATCACAAAAGTAATACAGTTTTCATACTGATTGGTTCTATGTAAAGTTTTCATCACAGATTAATTCATGTGTTTTGTCATATTAGAAAATTTAAAGTATGATACCACATATTAATCTTTTTTCCCCACCCTTAAGTCACCAAACAGTTTAGAGTCAATGTCACAGTTTACCAAAGTTACGATATTTTAGTATTCTTTTATCTTTTGTGGAATTAAAAGTACTTTGATAGCATTTGTGTTTTAAACTAAACAGTGACAAAGTCCTTTCTCTGTTAAGCAAGTACTCATGTAAAATTGTATATTTTCCTCTTGAAATCCTAAGGATTTGTGTTACCTGTTTTGTAAGAACTCTAACCATGTAGAAATTCTTAAAATTCTAATTAAATGAGTATGCTGAAACCTTATTCTACCAATAGCTATTTTTGTTCATTGTGTGTATATGTACCATGTATATTTTTTTAGAAAATGTATACAGCTGATCAGTCTGAGAACTGTACGGTGCTATTTATCTACTTTGTTCAATTAGATTTTATTTAGTTATTTTATTTATTTTGGGGGGCTACCGGGGATCAAGCTCAGGACCTTGCGCTTGTGAGGCAGGCAGCAGAACTACTAAGTAAATCCCTGGCCCTTTATTTTTTATTTTTTGAGACAGAGTCTCACTCTGTAGTGAGGCTGGCCTGGCACTTCCTATGTAGTAATCCAACATGAGCTCGAATTCACAATCCTACCGAGTGGTGGGATTACAGGCATGTACCACAGAAAAGATTTATAATATTTTAGTCTACCTAAAAGAGTATACAGATGATGTGATTCAAGTGTAGTTATTATGAATATTTATTTTGTTAATAAAAAGTATGCCACTGTGTGGTACAACCAAAAATCTTAGCACTTTGGAGGCCTGAGGGAAGAGGACCATTAGTTTGCCAGCCTGACCTACCTGTCAGGACCCTGTCTCAAAAAACAACAAAAGAAAGGTTATCTGTTGTCCTTTGTTAACCTACAAATATAAATACTTCTTATGCTTAATCTTTTACTCTCAACTGTATTTCATGATGTCATCATTAGATGATCTGGCTGCTCCTTCCTTTGTTTGTGGTGTTGGGTATCGAACCAAGTGCCTTAACTGATCACTTTTATATAGAGGACTTAATCCCACAGTACACTTGGTTCTTTTTTTATTATTATTATTAAATTCTTTTATTGGTACATTGTAGGTATACAACACAATTACATTTCTCATTGGGAATTGTACCTTTACATAATGCATTTTGGTTCTTATTTTTTCCCCATTCCTAGCCCTCCCTTCACGCCCTCCACCCTTCCCTATTTACAAAGACTTTATTTCCATTTTTTCCATTTCTCATCATTTTTCCTTTCCCTTCTTTCCTTTCCCCTGTGCCTCCCACTACCCCTACCCCTTTGGACCTTTTCTTCCTATTTTACATTATCGATTATTCATTCTAATCATTGGTACATTTTAGGTATACAATATAATGACATTCATCATTGGAAATTTGCACCTTTACATAGTCTCTCTTGGTTCTTATTTTTTCACCCTTGCTCAGCCCTCCAACCCCTCCAGTCCTCCCTATTTACAAAGATTTTGTTCCTATTTTTCCATTTTCTCATATTAATCCCATTCCCTTCTATCCTTTCCCCTAGCCCTCCCACTTCCTTCCCCTTTGCCCCTTTTCTTCCTATTTCACATTACCTGTTATACATTTAGTCCTTATTTACACTTTGTTTCTCACACCAGAGAAACTATTCGGTATTTATTCATGTGTGTCCTATTTATTTCACTTAAGAGTATCACCTCAATGTTCATCCACTTAGCTATAAATGTCTCTAATTTCTCATTTTTTATGGCTGAGTAGTACTCCATTATATAAAAAAAACACGTTTTCTTTATCCAGTCTCCAGTTGATGGGCATTTGGGCTGTTTCCAAGTTTTAGCTATTACAAACTGTGCTGCTATGAAACTTGGTTCTTATAATTCATCTAAGCAGCTGTGCCATCCTCCTTCTGTGGAGGGGGGCGGTGTCCAGGAAACTGTAATAGAGAGCAGCACGTGTTACTCAGGGTTGTGGGAACTGTGTCCAGTAATGAGTGTAGGTTTGTTTTGTTTTGTTTTTTTGGTAATGGGGATCGAACTTGGGACCTTACCTTTACAAGGCAGGTGGCAGAACCACTGAGCTAAATCCCCAGCCCTCCAGTAATGGGAATATGTACTTATTCTTCCTATACTGGTGGGTAGAATATAGATCGTGCTTTAGCAACCTAGCTATTTTGATTTTAAAACCACAAGATTAGATTATATTACAATGGGTACTACTGTTTTAGGTAGTGTAACTAGTAGATGCCAGAAGTGGTGCCAGAAAAAGTTCACCTGTGACATGTTACAGATATGAGGTTACTGAAACCCTGTAGAGGAATAAGTGAGGGTGAGCAACTTGGCAGTACTGAAAGTGTCCTAGACTATCAGAACTTGTTTCTGCCAAGGTACTTGGCTTACATCACTTGAGTTGTTCAGTAGAGGATGCGAATTGTAAGTGTGATGAGTTTCCCTTTGTTTAAAAGAAATGTGGAATCTGTATGATTTAATTAGTATTAGCTATGTTTGATATAATCAATTCAGTCTTATCTTCAAAGTATATCTTCAAGGAAAAGTTAATCTTGATTGTTAATATCTATGGATATCTTCCTAAACCATTAGGTCTGGTTTAGATGAAATTGGTGAATTTGCAGTATGTTCACTTAACCTGAAAGAAGTCTTGAAAGATTTAAGGCAGACTGTATATTAGTATGCTGAATCTAAAATTTCTTTTCAAGCTGGGTGTGGTGGTGCATCCCTGTAATCCTAGCACTAGGGAGACTGAGGCAGGAGGATCCCTGTGATTTTGAGGCCAGCCTGGGCTGCATAGCGAGACTGTGTCAATCAGTCAATCAATCTATCTATCTTTCTAGTTGTTTCCTTTTCCATATTAGCTACTGAGATCATATGTATGTAGCCTTACTTATTTTGAGGTCTTAAACTATTTATGAAGCAGTCTTTCAGTGCAGGAATACAAAATCTGGTATCAGTGAAGTAAAATATAATTGAAGACTTAAAATGATGTTATCAATACTGATAGCTCAGTAGAGTTAACTGTCTCTTCCATAGGTTTGTTACGGTTTTGTTTTTTGGGTCTGTGACTATCGCAGTATCTGCTTTTTTTGTTTTTTATTTGCTGCTTGTTTTAAGCTTGTTACTTTGCTTATTTGTAGATTAAAGATATTTCACAGTGTTTATGTTGCTCATTGTTTTTATTTCTTTAAATAATAAATATCAGCAGTCTTCATAGAATAAAGTGGTATATCAGCACTTGTCAGGGTCATCTATAATGTCATAAATTTTCCCTCCTCTGATGACTGTAGTTTGAAAGATCTTAGTTATTAATCATTTTTTCTTTTAATATGAAAATATAAAGAGATCCATGCCAAGGATGTCATCAACATTAGATAGCCAGTAAGAATAGTTTGATAACATGTCAACCTGTGCAAACTTATTTCATGTAAATATACCATTACTCCCATACTTTTTGAGGTATTAAAGTTATAATGTCTCATTGACTTCCATTTTTTCCCAAACCTTTAGGAATCTAAGAACCTTAGGTTAGAAACCACTGATCTGATCCTGTGTCACCCTGACAGTTGTGGCTTAATTTTCCTGGGGACTAATTCTGCAAACTAGCAGAAGTGTAGTTTACATTATGGACTCTGGTTGTAATTTTCACTTATGCTATTACTCTATTCTCAGGGAATATTCCCCTTGTTTTCTCTACCTGTCTAAATCCTTTTAGATCAGTTTCAGAAACTATTCCTGATTTTCCCCTGCCTAAAAAGTATTGTTTCCTGTCTTTACTCAAAACAATGTTTATTCTGTAGTTCATGTAGCAATAAATGTAACATTCTTACTATTCTCTTAAATCTTTCGTAATTATTTAACATTCCACATGTCTTATTTCCCCAACTAGATTATAAGCTCCCTGAGGGCAGGCATGATTTTTTTCCATTTCTTTGTGTTTTTCCATTGCATTTAGTTCAATATTACATAGCCTGTAGGCATTCAGTTTATTGATTTGGTTTGATTTTAAATATGTTTAATTTTTAGATTTTCCAAGTGAATGAGCACTTTAAATTAAAACCTAAACACTTACTTGCTTTCTGCCATATTTGTGTATTCAACTAATACCTGTAATCTTTGGCATTTATTTGCTTTAGGTTTCTAACTTTGTGACTTCTCCATAGCAAACTTTTAGTACAATTGGGTTAGTTCTGGGAAGCCTTCGGCCATAAAATTTATGTTTCTGTGTATAAAATAATCATAATGTTATCCTGAATAAAATATTTGGAAGGTAAGTTGTTACAAGTAGCATGTATATTACAAATACAAATAAATGTAGAATTATCCCCATCATTGTTTTTCTCCTAATGTAGATAATTTCCAGTAGTATAATGAAGCTGATTTAATATGATTCTTCCTAAAACCAATGAAGTTCCTGTTAGCTTTTAAATTTTGATAAACAGCTGAAGGAAGATTCATAAAATTGAATGATAATTTTAAATTTACATTATTTTGATATTTTGGGTAGTATAAAACTTTTTACAATTCACTAACTGCTATATAGAGTATTAGGAGTTCTTGGAGTTTCCTCATTAACTTGTTTAATTTGCATCCAGAAGCCACAGAAGAAGTTTCTTTGGACAGCCCAGAAAGAGACCCTATCCTGTCCTCAGATCCTTCTCCTGCAGTCACACCAGTCACCCCTACTACACTCATTGCTCCTAGAATTGAGTCAAAGAGTATGTCAGCTCCTGTGATCTTTGATAGATCCAGGGAAGAGGTATGGAAAAATGTTTGTATTCTAAATTAATATGCAAATAATGCTTTTGTTCCCCACTCAACATCACTGTCCTATTAGTCATTCCTAATCAAAGCCATTAAAGTATTTTGGGAAAAGAACATTGGAATAAAGAAATCAGAAAATTTTGCTTCTATCACTACACTAAACAATGGGCATTAAATTCCCCCTCCCCCCCTTCTTTTTTTGGAGACAGGGTCTTGCTTTGTAGTACAGGCTGGCCTTGAACTCACTATCTATTACCTTTTTAAGTCAAGGAGTTTGTCATTTATGATCTTACAATAATATGTGCCTTATGAGAGAGAGTTCCTAGGTTGGTTGGGTAATCTATCAAAGCTGGAAACTATTAATCACAGTAAAATGGTATTTTGAGTAATTTTACTTGAGAAAAGCATGTAATAAATACAGTTGATATATAAAGGTTGCTATCTAGCCTTTATTTTTAAAAAGAACTACTGTAAGTCAGTTAAAGATTGCTTTTTTGAGACAAGGTCTCCCTATGTAGTTCAGGCTGGCCTTGTGTAGTCCAGGCTGGCCTCAAACTTGCAGTGATCCTCATGCTTTCTTCTCCTGAGTGCTGGGATTATAGGCTTGTGCCACCACACCCAGTTTAACCATAACATTCTTAGGATTTGGCAGTAATTTCTGATAAGTTGCATTTGGCAAAGAAAAGTCATGATATGGTGTGGAGGGTTTGGTTTGGTTTTGAGCATTGCTGGAGATGGAACCCAGAGCTTCATGTATTCTAGTCAGGCAATCACTGAGTTGCATCTCCAGCTCTAGAGGTTGTTTTAAATGGCAAAATTTTAGATTTAAAGGTCATTCAGCTGTATTCCCAGCACTCAAGAAGTTGAGGCAGGAGATTTGCCATGAGTGAGACCCTGTCTCAAAAACTTGTTAAAAACAACAACAACAAAAATCATTCATATTGAAATAGATCATTAAGAAGTAATGAGGGCATACAAATACATGGATAATCTCACAAACATGATATTAAAGGAAAGAAACAAGACATAAATGAGTACCTTCTATGTGATTTCATGAGACAAATTTTAAATACAGGTAAAACTAATGAACAGTGTTAGAAGTCAGGATAGTGATTATGTTGGTAAAGTTATGTTGTGATAGAGAGAAACGTTAAGAGGGCTTTCTGGGCTGTACTTGTAGTGTTTTTAATTTTGGTTCTGGTTACAAAGATATGTTCACTTTATGAAAGTTTGTTGACCTGTACACCTAGAACTTATACATTTTTCTGTATGTATGTTATGATTCAAAAAGATTTATGTGTAAAGGCCTGGCTGGGCGCATGGAACATGCCTATATAATACCAGCTATCCAGGAGGCTAAGGCAAGAGAATCATGAATTTAAAGCCAGTCTGGACAATTTAGGGAGACCGCGACTCACCAAGAAAGGGTTAGAAATTGTAGCTCAGCACTCCCTGAGGTCAGTCCCCAGTTAATGGGGGGGGGGGCGGGGAGGGAGAGAGGGAGAGAGGGAGAGAGAACGAACCATTGAAAAAATAAAAGATTTTGAAGAAAAAGAAAAAATAAAAGTTTTTTTTTTTCCGGTATCGGGATCGCCTTGAAAATTTTACAATTTATAATGATTCCTAAAGTTTCTTGAATTGATAAAGCCTTCCTGTAAAGTTGCTGTTTGAGTTGCATTTTGATAATAGCATTCAAAAGGGCTTCTCTGTGGTCTCACAAGTTTTGCATTTTCCCCACTTACTCTTTTTTAATGTTGTTTTGAGACAGGTCTTACTAAACTGCCCAGGCCAGGCTCAAACTTGAAATTGTCTTGCCTCAACCTTCCAGAGTTCTGAAATTACAGGCGTGGACTTGGACTGCCATGCCCAGCTTTACTGATTTTTTAACTTGAGCTTTTTAGTGCTTCATTGGCTTTAGGGAGAAACGTGTTATAGTAAGTATTTAGAGACATCATACTAAAGTTGGTCTAGGAAATAATTTCTGCAGGTATGTAAGATGCTACTGGTGAAAGTAATGTTACTTCCTAATTATTCAGGATTAGAGATGTAACTTTGAAAAATGATAATGTTAAAAATAAGGAATTATTTTTCTATGAATCTAAAGATTCAGTATATGGAACAAAAAACAAGATTCAGTATACAGAAAGCTGAAACAGTTTCTACATCCAAGGAGATGTTAGAACACAAAATTTTCTGTTACTTCCCAAATGATCATGTATTTTTGTGCTTTGTTTTAAGTAACCCGGAAATGTGAATATTGTTTTTCAGAAATAGAGTACTGAGTGGCTTTTTAAATTGTTGTGACAGTGATCCTGGTAAAAGACAGGTGGTACAAATTTTAGTTGTTAATTTTAATTGGAATCTTTTCTGACACCATGTATATACCCTTTTAGATTGAAGAAGAAGCAAATGGAGATATTTTTGATATAGAAATTGGTGTGTCAGATCCAGAGAAAGTTGGTAAGTAAAATATTATTGTATTTTGTACTTTTTGATTAGGTTGATAATTATGTCCTGTTCTTTTCAAGTAAATGCATCATTATTACATTTTAAAATAGCACTTTGTTTTTTAAAATATTATTTTTAATAGCATTGTTTGACTTTTATAGGTGATGGCATGAATGCTTACATGGCATACAGAGTAACAACGAAGGTGAGCCTTTTGTTCTGTTAATGAAATATCCCTCCCTGTGTGTAGTAGAGGATATGACCCTGATGAAGGTGGAAGTTATACTGTCTTTATAAAGGTTACCATCTTATAAAGATTACTTAGAAGTTGTTGAGACATGTGGTGAGTGTTTTGATAGGTACTGTATTCTCTGAGAATATACAGGAAAGGAATATAATGTAGACCTGAGGGTCCCAAAAGGCTTCCTGTGGAAAGTAGTGTATAAGCCAAGGCAAAAGTGAAAGAAGTGATTTAGGAGAAACCAGAAGGAAGGAGCAGAATGCTTGTTCCAGGCCCAGGGATTTGCTTGTGTAAAAGCTGAACGTCAAAAAAGCATATGGTTCCTAGGATCTGTAAGAAGTAGTTATGGTAGAATTTTTGGCCATGACCTTCTATTGCGTTATGACCAGCCACCTTAATGAAGTTTGGGCTTCATTTTAGATATAATGGGGTACTATGAGATTTTTGTTTCAATAAGATCTCTGGCTACAATATGAATTGGGAGGGTCAAAGTACAGCTCAGAATTGGTAGTTAAGAGGCTACTAGAATAAAGGATGGTAGGCCTTCAGATCTTCAAACATTGCCTGTTTCAGCAGTACTAATTATAAAAAGTAATGCTTGATACTTAAGAAATGGTTCTGGAAGTGAGCAAAATAAATGCTGAAGTTATGTAGGAGGTAGAATCAATAGGACCTAGGTACAGAGACAAAGAAGAGGGATGCCTGAGTTACTGACTAGAGGAACTTTATGGGAGTGGTCTGTGTAGAAAGATGGGCAGAAACACAGTGTAGGTGGGCTAAAATGTGTCAATTCATCAAGTAAATACTCATTAAATGTCTTGCCATAGTGTCAGGTTCTGTTGCAAACACTGGGTATAGTAGTAAACAGCTCAGAGAAGTGCTCTTTTATGGAACTCCTGATTGGCAGAAAAATGAAGTGAATTTTGAGGTGCCACTGAGGTTTATGTAACAGAAAATTTGTAATTTTGGAATATTGAACTGCAGTGGAAAAGGAGATCTGGTCATAAGTAAAGATTTTAGATTCATTAACATAAATATGGTAGTATAGATGAGTTAAGAATAGAATAAAGCAGCAAGACAAGGTGATGCAGTCTATAATCCCAGCACTCAGGAGGCCGAGGCAAGAGGATCACCTCAAGTTTGAGGCCCACCTGAACTATACAACAACAACCTGTCAGAACAAACAAACAGAATAGAATAAATAAGATATTTTCTGTCCTCTTAAATTTGAAACTATCGTTTAGGATTTTTAATTGCTGGAAACCTGTATATTGCATTAGATTCTCTGTATTCTTTGCAAAATAAATCATTGCATTATGTTGTGTATATGTTGTGCTCACAGTTATGAATAGCATTAGCTTCTAAGTAATTGCTTACCATTCAAAATTTGAAATACCTCTCTTGTAGACTTCTCTTTCCATGTTCAGTAAGAGTGAATTTTCAGTTAAAAGAAGATTCAGTGACTTTCTTGGTTTGCACAGCAAGTTAGCAAGCAAGTATTTACATGTTGGTTATATTGTGCCACCAGCTCCAGAGAAGAGTATAGTAGGTAAGCATAAGTCAAAAGTAATTTTTGTTACTGCTCCTAATCCTGTTTCAAACTTATGAATCTATAGATTCCATAATCATTCATTGTCAACATCTTACAATGTTTGGAGATGCAGAGTTTAGATATTTCATTTGTGGTAATGAATTATTAAAGAATATATATCTAAAAGGTTTTTTAAATTAATAACATTTTTGAGAAAACCATTTTTTATTACCACCATCCAGCTTATTTGTGCTGGATTATGTACCAAATGACCAGATCTTCTAAACAACATCTACATTAACATTAAAAACATATACATAACATTTCTTTCATGTATCAAGAGATGAAAGTAACTACAAGGTTAAGTACAAAGGTACACAAGACAGCAGACACAAAAAGATCTGTATGTGAGATTTTATCCCACCTGCAGCTTTAATATATTTGAAAAGTAGAATTCATTAACTGAAAAATAATGTCCTTGTATAGTCCTTTCAGGTTTAATGGAAGTGAGTTTAACCTGATTATGACACTAATAACAGTATCACTGATCTGGTATTTACCAAAAAATTGGTATTTTTCAATAAATTAAAGTCAGTGCAACACCCATGCAAGCTAGAATGCTACCTATTTATTGAACAAGGACCTGACATCTGAACAAAAAGTCTATGTAAAGTCCTAAACTTTAAAAGTGTGATCTTTTTCAAAACTTCATCCATTCCTTGCATTGATAAAAGTTTTATTTTCGAACACTTGAGGATTTAGGTGTTGAATATGGGATTGAAATTTACCAATTTGACAGCAATTAGAAACCATAACCTTGGGCTGGGGATTTAGTTCAGTGGTTCTGCCGCCTGCTTTGCGAGCGCAAGGACCCGAGTTCGATCTCCGGTACCAAAAAAAAACCTTAACCTTTTAGGATCATTAGAATACCATTTTATTGAGTCATACTTAGAGGATAATTACTTACTATTTTTTTTGTATTAACATTTTTCTAAGATGTAGAAGCGTTTGGCCCTTGACTATATGTTATCCAAAAGGTTGATTTGATTGAGGCTTGCCCATATAAGAAATTTTATTTATTTGTTTATTTATTTTTAGTTCTTTGCGACAAGGTCTTCCTATTAGTCCAGGCTAGCCTTGAACTCACTATGTAGCCCAGGCTGGCCTCGAACTCATGGTGATCCTCCTGCCTCAGCCTCCTGCGTGCTGGGATTACAGGCATGCGCCACCGTGTCTGGCAAGAAATTTAAACTGAATTTCATACTTCTTTTTAGTGTTGTATCTGTAGTAAAGGCTTAGTTAACAAAATGCAGCTGAGCATGGTGAGGTGTACCTATAATCCCAGCTACTTGGAAGTTGAGGCACCGTGGCAAGTTCTAAGCTAGCCTGGGTCACTTAGCAAGACCCTCTCTAAAAGATGGGGGAGGGGATATTGGTCAGTGCTCCTGGTCAATCCCCAGTACCTCATAAAAGAAAGAATTGGGAAGAAGAAAGAAGGAAGAAATTTTTCGAAGAAGAAACTGTGTAAAAATATACTTAAATTGGATCAAATTGTTTAAAAAATACAAATTTCAAAAAAGGATTTGAGGAAGCTACATGTAATACTGTGTGTGTGTGTGTGTGTGTGTGTGTGTGTGTGTGTGTGTAATATATACAAATACCGATAACTTATTTAGGGAAGATACAATCAAATGATATAAGATGAATCCAAGCAAAACAGTTCTTTTCAAAACTTTTTTTTTGTTACTAGGGATCGAACTTGGGTCGTTGGGCTTGTGAGGCAGGTGGTGGAACCACTGATCTAAATCCCCGACCCTCTTCAGAACTCTTGAACAATACTAAAAGTAGTTGACAAGTAAATATTTGAGTTTCAAAATAGCCAGTAAAGAAGCAATCATTTATAAATTTCATAAAATAAAAATGAATACATTGTCTAAGAAAAATTAAAAACATGGATGCCCTTTTATTTATAGGAGGTGTTTTTCAAATAAGATAGGCCTCCCATGGCATAGTAAAGTAGTAGCTTTTTGCTGGGAGGCTGTAACTGCCACTGAAGGAGGAGGAGTCTTCATCAGCACATACCTGTCACTACTCAGTGGGACTTTGTTGACTTAAACACTGTTTCATGTAAATTGTTAGAAAAAAGACTTTATTGAAATAAAATTAATATATAAAATTTGTCTATATAAAGTTTATAAATTAGTGGCTTATATTACATTCAGAATTATGCATTCATTACCAAATCAGTTTTAGATTATTACCTAAGAAACCCAGTGTGCCTCAGTCATCACCCCAAATTCCCTCTGTTCTCACCTTCCTCTCCCAACAGCCCCAGGCAGTCTCTACTGGCTTTTCTCTCTAGGTCTGCCTTTGCAGAACATTCCCATAAAGGGAGCCATGCAATACAGTGTTTGACTCTTTTCGGCAAGCCTTTTGTACTGGGCACTGTTTTTCTCAAGGTTCCTGTATGTGTAGTATGTCACTCCCATAGAGGAGTGGGGGATTGAGCCCAGGGGTCCTATAACACTCAGCTACATCCCCAGCCCTTTTTATACTTTTTATGGAGACAGAGTTTCACTTAGTTACCCAGGCAGGACTTGAACTTGTGATCCTCTTGCCTAATTTCCCAACTGCTGGGCTTATAGGTATGTAATAGAGCACCCTGCCCACAGAGTATGTTTTTGAAAGGAAAAATAATGGGAAGAAAGAGGAAAACTATAGCCTAATATAGCATTATTCGCCAATAAAGAAATAATTAATGTGATTTTTTTTTTCCCCCCTTTTTGGTGTTGCAAATTGAACCCAGTGCCTTCCACATGGTAAGATCATGCCCAACTAGGGCCAGGATTTAGCTCAGTGGTTCTGCTGCCTGCCTCACAAGTGCAGGGTCCCAAGTTCGATCCCCAGTACCAAAAAAAAAAGATCATGCCCAACCTAATTAGCATGATTTTTATTTTTAAAATGTGGAGTGTTTCTAATGTCTCTGTGAATGAGCTTATTCTTTCAACTATTACAAAACCAGCTGTATCCCAGGCATGGTGGCATGTGCCTATCACCCTAGCCACTTGGGAAACTTGGACAAGAGGATCACTTGAGCCCATGATTTAAAAAAGATAAAATTCAGCTATGATAAATAAGTAAGAACGTGCTCTTAGAGTCTGCAGCAAGGAAAACATCTTTGTTTTTGTCATTCTGGAAGTAAAGAACTTTAATTGCGCATAAGAAATGAAAATGTTAGGTCTGGGCATGTGGCTTAGTGGTAGAGCCCTCGTCTAGCATCTGGAAGGCCGTGGTTCCTAGCCCCAGTACCTCAAAAAAAAAAAAAAAAGAAAGAAAATGTTAATTGAACTTCAGTGTACTGATTTAAAAATTCCATTATACACGTTGAAATGTAAAAACATTTGAATTTATCAGAAATATAAAATATAACAGATGAGGAAACGATGTAAGCTTTTGTGTAAATAAATAGTATGGCTCAGAAAGCTATCACTGCCAAACTTCAGCTTAACCTGTTCTCATGTTGTTAGTATTTATTTACCAAGTAGAGATGTTAACATATCATGAGATTTAATTCCTCAAAGTAGTTTGCTTTTCTAGTAAGATAGCAGTTAAAATCTTACAAATCTTGGAACTTTTTTGTCAAGTTCAAATACAAAGTATATTTTGAAGTTTGAAAAATGATTATAAAGGACTGTTTTACAATAATACACAGTCATCATGACTCTCATTCAACTTCTTCAAAGGTATGACCAAAGTCAAAGTAGGTAAAGAAGATTCATCATCCACTGAGTTTGTAGAAAAACGAAGAGCAGCACTTGAAAGGTAATTCTGGGTAACTTTATTGTTCTCATGTTTTGCATTCAGTAATACAAGTCTGATTCCATTATTTGGCACAAATATGGTTAGTTTTTTTTAACGTGCCACATGATGGTCTATAGGAGTGTTTTCAAATTTATTTTACAAATTGCTTATTTCAGCAGCATGATACTATTTATCATGTTTTTATTAGTCTTTGTTCATAGTCTGTCTACATGGTTTGGTATCATATGCTATCAGCAGGAATATAAAGGCATAGGTTAATTGAAGATAGATCATAGATGGAAGTTATTATTGGGGGAGAGAATTGATAAAAATGTTTGAATAGGGCTAGGAGTATAGCTCGGTGGTAGAGCACTTGCCTTGCATGTGCAAGGTCCTGGGCTCAATCCCCAGCACTGTAAGAAAAAAAGAGTTTGGATAAAAATAACCTCATTTTGGTATTATTTAGGTTCTTAGGAAGTTATACCATATTTATGTACTATATTCGATAATTTTGTCAATTATAGTTCATCTAAACTGGTATAAACATTAATAGTGAAAATGCAGTGTGTGTCATTTTTATGTACTTAATTTTGACTTGAATATGTAAAAGTATTAGTCATTGCTTGGATTGACTACATACTTAAAGAATATATATACTCTATCTTCCTTTAGAGTATATGAACTACCCATTTTGTATAGCTTTGAAGACTTGTCTTCATCGTGGCAGACTAAAAGGAGAATGGATGGGAAGAAACCCACTCCTCAAATCTTAACATTTATTCCTTTGCTGTGCTGAAAATGTGAGAAAACAAATTTGAAACCATTGTAAAGCCCACTTTTTAGAATATAACATGGTAATTATTTAGACTTGAAACATTTTCTAATTTTATAGATTTTTTTTTGCCTTTATCTTCTCATTTTGCTTGAAATCAGTGAGGTGGGACAGGTTTTAGGAGTGGTGTAATAATTTGTACCCTGATGTGTCTGTGTGGATGCATGTGTGTGTACATGCAAATTATTTTGAAACTTTTTAAGGCAACATATTTTTGGCTTTTAGTACTGTACTAAATTGTTTGCATTGTAAGAACATGCCACAGTGGAGTTAGGTTTAAACATTATGCAGTAAGAAAAGCTAAAAGAGTATGTAGCTTAAAAGTCTTAAGAGAAGATTAAAGAAGGAATGATGTCTGTAAGAATCAGCAGTTACCCAGGAAAAGGATTTAAATTGCATCAAGAGAAGTTTAGGTTGGGCATTAGAATTGATTATGTTGTGAGAGAGGTTATAGACAGAATATTTTGAAAAACAAAGGTACATAATGTTATTTCTTGATTTTGCCTAGTCCTGAAAATGTAACCATGACCCTTTGAGAGACCTTTCAGGAATTGTTTTTCTATGGGTAAATTTGAAATATTTCATATGACATGCTTGATAAGGAACTTAATGAAGATTTATTGTGCCGAGGGCATATAATTTGATTCTACATTTGCCTTTCTTCTAACTTTGACCACTTTGTAACATTAAAGAGCATTTAAAGGGAATATTTAAACTTTAGTTTTTGTGTGAAGAGTTTGCTCTCTCATAAATTTAACTTGTTAAAGGCAGAATTTGTAATAATTTGTAGAATTAGCAATGTGGTAGTTTATTTTTAAAGAATAACATAATATGGCAGAAAAGTTTCCATTTCCATCGTTTATTAGAAAAACTTTTTTTTTTTTTTTTTTTTGAGAAAGGGTTTTACTATGTGGTTCAGGCTGGCCTTAGACTCACTTTGTAGCCCGTGCTGGCCTCAAACTGGCGATGATCCTCCTGCTTCAGCCTCTGAAGTGCTGGGATACAGGCCTGCAGTACCACACCCTGCAAAAAAATAATTCTAAAGAAAATATAAACATTAGGGTATAGAAGCAAAGGAACTGAAATGATTACTTTTTACTCTAATCCTTTTTCCCCATCCTATACAATTTTAGTGAGTTTGGTGCACTTTTTTGGGTTTGGCTGTTGTTGCTTTTGTTTTTCACAGGGTCTGGCTCTGTACTTCAGGTTGGCCTTGAACACACTATGTAGCCCAGGCTGGCTGCAAACTCCTGGCAATCCTTCTACCTTAGCCTCCCAGATGCTAGAATCCCAGGCGTGTGCCACCACGCCCAGCTTTTGGTGCACATTTTCTTAACTTAATGTGTAGATTTTAAAACTGCATTTCTCTTACCCTTTCATATATCTGACTTTTCTAAGTGATTCCCAGCACTCTTAGGAGGCTGAGGCAAGTAAATTATGAATTCTAGCCGAGCCCTGACAATTTAGCAATTAGTGAGACCCTGTCTCAATTTTTAAAATTAAAATACCTGGATGTGATGAGGCATGCCTATAATCCCAGCAGTTGGGAGGCCAAGGCAGGAGGATCACCATGAGTTCAGGCCAGCCTCAACTACAGTGAGTTCGAGGTAGGCCTGAATTACACAGTGAGACCTTGTCTCGAAAAACCAAAAAATTAAATTAAAATTAAATAAATAAAAGAAAGGGCTAGGGATGAAGTTTATTACAAAGGCCCCAGATTCCAACCCCAGCATTGTAAAAATAATTACATACATTAAATTATACTAAGTTAAATTAAAGATTAGAACTCGTATTATCTATGGGATGCCCAGCCTAGTTGGATCTAGTTAGACAGGGAAATATTTATTTTTGTATTACTTTTGTTTTGTTTTTTTGGTACGAGGGATCGAACTTGGGACCTTGCTCTTGTAAGGCAGGTGGCAGAACCACTGAGCTAAATCCCGGGCCCTGTATTACTTTATTTAATACTGTGGTACTCATTTACATACTTACTCAGTTTAGAGAATTTGGATGCATCTTTAATGAAAGACTAAACTTCAGCAGATATAAACTGAGAAATTTAGAGGTGCTGATGCTAGGATGCAAGATTTAGAATATTTCAGTTGAAGCCCGTGTACCACTCCAACACACTGTCTTGTGTGACCTTGGGCAAGTTTTTTGACTATGTTTTTTATTGCCAAAGTGTGAGTGAATCATTTAGGATTGTCTTCAAGAACCTAGAAACTCAATCGACAAGGCCTAGACAATTACTATAGATTAATTAATCCACTTTTTCATACCAGAGTTTGGAGATAGAGAGCTCTTCAGGGTTAACTAGTTTATCATGGAACCCTATTGCTCCTTCTTGTGCCTGGAATGCCACCATTTCTCATCAGTCTAGTCCAAAGGCCCTAATTAGCTGCAGTAGTCTCCTAATTGGCCTCCGTGCTTTAAACCTTATCAGTTGTACTTTAAAGGGGGGGAAAAATATATATGTGTATATATATATATATATATGTATAAGTAATCCAGTTGAAACATACATCATAATGATCATATTAATCTCTTAATTTCACTCAATAAAATCCAAAGTCCTCTAATGGACTACAAATTTCTGCATGACATACTTTGTTCACCTTGTTACCTATTTGATTTCCTTGATCACTTCCTCTGCTCTGGGCCACACTGACCTTTGTTTTGTGTCCTGTCATCATTTCTTTTTAAGTGTAAATGTTCAAAGAGCAGCTTTCCAGTAAAGTCAGTTCTGATCATAGGTTTCTGATCTAGTTAAATTGCAGCAAACCACATCTTACACGACTGGTCCCATGAACCCTGTTCTTTCTTTCCATTTCTGTGTTTTCTATAGCACTTGCTTGTCACATAATTCATTATTTATGTGCTGATAATCTTACTGTTCTAAACTATAAAGTCTACTGGTGGGAAAGAGATCTTATTGTCTCTCATTCTCTGATGTATTGCAGATACTCAGAACAATCAATACCTGACATGTAGTGTTTGGTAAATATCTGTTCAATGAACAAATGAAATGTCATCCAACACTCAGGCCCTTTCTGCCCTTCTATTCTCTCATTGCAGTTCTTATATTTGAATTCAAAGTAAGAGAAATATTTTTAATTTTATTGCTCTCAATGAATATTTTATATAACTTGCTTTATTATTTGTTTTAGGAAGTAGGAACTTGAAAGCCCTAAAGTGATGATTCTCAATTTATCCCTAACATTTGCTTGGAGCTTGGAGCAAATTTGAAAAGCTACTTATCAGCAACTTTTCCTGGGTCTGATACTTTACCAGTTCCATTGTGTCTTCCATGTTTTCCTACCTTCCTTCCGTGTTTCTATTTCTCACCATACTTTTTTCATGTCTTTCTCTTCTGCTTTGTCTCCTTTGTGTGCATGTGCATGATGCTGGGGATAGAACCCAGAATCTCACTGTATCCTTTATGTATCTACCTGTATAACCTTCACTAATCTTAATTTCAGATTGGTGTATATTTTATCCATTGTTTTAAAATCCAGTTTATCTTTCTGTTCTCAATTTTAACATTATGTTAGGCAAATATATATCAATCACTAGTTTTCTTTGGTTAGTTACTCTTTACTTCCATGTAACCCTTAAAGAGGAAAGATTTACTGTCTTTTTCTAGAATGTAATTTTCCAAGTTGACTCTTCAGAAAGCTAATATACAAGATTTTTAAAAAAGGGAACAACACTCAACTGAGTCTTGTTAGCCTAAGATTTCACAAAGTTAAACCAGATTTATCTCCTGTAGGACTTAGCACTAACATAATGCTGTTCATTGTGAATCTTTTTTTGTGTTTGTTTTTCGTTAAAAAGACAGGGTCTTGTTATCTGGTTCAGGCGGCCTTGAACTCACTATGTTGTTCATTGTGAATCTTTTTTTCTTCTTTTTTTTTTCCTCCCGGTACCAGGGATCAAATTCAGGACCTTGCACTTGCCAGGCAGGTGCAGCACTACTGAACTGAATCCCTGGCCCCCATTGTGAATATTAAAGACAGAAATGTGTATGTAATATATTCCAAACTTTCTTGATCATAGAATCAGTCTTTTTCACGAGTATTCTATGAAAGAGTCTGGTAATCTAAAACTTTGGAAAAATGTGGAAAATGTTTTAGAATATAATAGTATCAAGTATTTCCATTTGGGGTTTTTGTTGGTTTTTTTTTTTTGGTAGCGGAGATTGAACTCAGGACCTTGCATTTGCAGAGTAGGCTTCGGCACCACTGAGCTAAACCCCCAGCCCTGAAATGTAGTTTCTTAAAGATTGGCTACTAGATATTTTGTCTTCCTTGCTACTTGTTCATTTAACAAATATGTGAGTCCTTGCTATTTACCAGGACTGAGATGAACAATTTACATAGACTGCTTTCAGGTAGTCTGCAGTCTTAACAACTAAATAACGTACCTAATGGTGTTGGGAGAGTTTCACTGTTAAAATGTGAGTGTAATTCCAGTGAGAAAATGGAAGTATTTTTTACACTTATAGGAGTAGTGTCTTACACCATCTCTTTTTTAGGCTCCATAATATAAGCAGCAATTTTAAAAAATCACACTGGATATTGTTATTACATATATCTAAATGTTTTTCTATTAGGATGACTATGTGGCTGCCCAACTTAAAATGTTTAATTTGGGGGGGTCGGTGTACAGGGAATCAAACTCGACCTCACACTTGCCAGGCAGGCATTGTGTCGCTGAGCTACATTCCTGGCCCTGGTACATTTTTATTTAAATGTGTAAAAACAAATTAACATTTAACCGTGAGTACAATGGTCATGACTATTGTATTGAATTTGGCGCTAATCTTGTAAAAAAAATAGGAGAAATTATTACAATTTAGAATTTATAACCTAAGAAATTATTAGGGCCAAGGATTTAGCTCAGTGGCACCGTGCCTGTCTCGCAAGTGCAAGGTCCTGAGTTCGATCCCCAGTATCAAATAAAAAGGGAAAGAAATTATTGACTTCCAAAGAAACAATAAAGCTATATAAACTGAGGTAAATGTTATAACTGAAATATTGCTACATGAAATCTCACCTGTTTTTTAAAAGATGGCATTTGAGCAGTAATTGAGAATAAAGTAGTTGACCTTTTATCCCTTGTATGAAATAATGATTGCTAACTTATGGACAGCAAACACATGTGAGCTTTTCTAATAAAAGAAAATGACTGAAATTGGACTAATAATGATTGCAATAATGTTTCTCTTTTGTATTTTTACTTTATGCGGTACCATATTTAGATAGGACATTTATCAAAAATAACAAAACCTTAGAAACAGTATTGAAGAAATTTACTCCTTGTCAAATTAGGACCAAAACTGATGATGATCATTTAAATCTACTAACAAGCAAAAAATGGTGAACTGTTTCCCAAGTTGGTGATAATAGCAATTATAGTTGTTGAGTATAAAATAATATGTGTCTTGGAACTCTTAGGTAATTAGAACATACTAACTACCCAAAGATAAAATTACTAAACAAGTTCATATATCCTCTTCCAACTAATACTTTGCAGTAAGAAGTTTGGTAAGTTATTCAACATCTTACTATTTTTTTATCCCCACCCACATCCCCTGCCATTTTTCTTTTTATATAATTACAAAATCAGTTTTCAAAAGATGAGTAAAAAGATGTTTAAATATTAGATTGCTCTGAAATTCTAAATAGTGATATTGAGGGAAGAATAATGAGGCCAAGGACGCCTTTTTACTTAATTTTTCATTTTATTCTTTTGTTGAAATATAATTTAAAATGCTGTTAATAATAGTGAAATTTTTACTCTTAAATGTAGGTATCTTCAGAGAACAGTAAAACATCCAACTTTACTACAGGATCCTGATTTAAGGCAATTCTTGGAAAGTTCAGAGGTATTATTTCTACTTTAAATTTTTTTATATATTGCATCTTTACATATCCCATAATATATATAAGAATATTCAGTAAATAACTAGATTAATAGATGGAATGAGTGCTTATTTTTTTGCTTAGTGTTTTACCAGATTTTACTAGCAGAGTATCTTCTTGAAAATTAAAAACCAAGTTGTATTAAAGTTTTGGAATGCAAATCTGTAACTTGAGAGAGCTTAAATTATAAACATCTTGCTTTTTATATTTGAGGTGTTCGACACATTTTCAACTTTTAAAAAGTTAGGAGTTCTTAGGACTAGAGGTCCCATTTGACCCAGCTCTTCCCCTGCTGGGTATCTTCCCAAAAGAATTAAAAGAATCATACCACAGTGATATATGTGCACCCATATTCATAGCAGCACAATTTGTAATAGCTAAAGCTTAGAAACAGCCCAAGTGCCCATCAACTGGAGACTGGATACAGAAGATGTGAGTTTTTTTTTATAAAATGGAGTACTACTCAGCCATAGAGAATGAGGAACTAGAGTCATTTATAGCTAAATGAATGCATATCAAGGCCATACTCTTTTTTTTTTTTGGTACCAGGGATCGAACTCAGGTCCTTGTGCTTGCGCAGCAGGTGGCGAAACTACTGAGCTAAATCCCTGGCCCTCGAGGCCATACTCTTAAGTGAAATAAATAGGACACACATGTGTAAATACTGAATAGTTGAGTTCTCTAGTGTGAGAAACTGAAAGTGTAAATAAGGGTTAAAATGATTAAAATGAATAATTGATAATTTGAAATAGGAAAAGTCCAAAGAGGCAGGGCTGAAGGGTGGGGGAGGGGAAAGGAAAGAAGGGAATGGAAAAATTAAGAGAAAAGTAAAAAAAAATGGAAATGATGTCTCTGTAAATAGGGAAGGGTAGAGGGGATGAAGGGCGCACAGGTAATGGGGAAAAATAAGAACCAAGATACATCATGTAGAAGCACCCAATGATAAATGTAAACATATTGTATACCTAAAATAAAATACCAATAAAAGAACTTAAGAATAAAAAAAAATTGGGAGTTCTAATTGTCTCTACTTGAGTTTTTAAAAATTTCCTTGAGACCCAGAATTTTTAGAAAGTTAAAATCACACAGATGTTCTTAACTGAGCATACAGAGATTTTTTTCTCAAGACTTCTTTCCTTACAAACAGTGTATTTCTGCTAGCAAATAGGTAGCCAGTGTTTGGGTACTTGGCAATTTCTTAATATATTTTGACAAATGGTGTTTGTTCCATCTAAATGTAAACATACAGAAGAAAAGCAAATGGAAAGTCTATTTTTCAAGTTTTCCTTTGAGAATGTACAGGTAGTGTGTTTGAGAAATTAGATCTCACTACTGAAATGTATGAGAATGAAGAAAATACAACCTCTTTTCTTCTTTTCCCTTTTTTCTTTTTTTTTTTTTTTTTTCACTTTGCGGGGGGAGGGTCCCTTTTGTGCCCAGTTAAACCTCTAGGCTTTTAACTGGTTTGTTTGCCCTTATTTGTCATTCAATTCCAGCTGCCTAGAGCAGTTAATACACAGGCTCTGAGTGGAGCCGGAATATTGAGGATGGTGAACAAGGCTGCGGACGCTGTCAACAAAATGACAATCAAGATGAATGAATCGGATGCAGTAAGAGCTGATTTTTCGACTTGAATAATGAAATGAATTAATGAGCCCAACAATTGCATTTTAAAGCTGTACAAGTAGAAAATAGGATATTAATTTGCTTATTGAGTTTAGTTCTCAGCCACATCAGTTGACCACCATGGTTATACATGGTTAATTTGTTGCTTTAAAACAAGGAATGTAACTTACTATTGGTAACCTAATTTACTATGGTTTGTTCTTCCTAAATTAACCCCATTTTTCATTTTTTCTTAGTGGTTTGAAGAAAAGCAGCAACAATTTGAGAATCTCGACCAGCAGCTTAGGAAACTCCATGCCAGTGTTGAAGCTTTGGTCTGTCATAGAAAAGGTTTGTCTATTATTTCTGTGTTTAACACCATAAAGCTAAGATTTAAATGTAAAACTTAGAGGTCAATTGTAGTATTTTCATCTAAGTTTTACTTTAGAAGAACATAAAACTATATTGAATTCTAGATTAAAATTATCCACTTTATTATCTCTGTTTAATGTATTTACAGTATAACAGATGAAGATGTAACTTTGATTATGATAAAGGCTTAAGATTCAAAACATTGGTATTTGAAAATTTTCTTGAAATTTTTTTTGTGCTTATATTTCCAAAAAATCCTTTGAAGTATTTTCTCCAGTTTTGAACCATAGTATTCAAAAATCTGGGAATATTTTGGTGAAAATAAAAAAGCTCAGTGGTAATTTTTTAATCCACAGTAAGACTTACCTTTTATGGTTTTATTTTAAAGAGTCCACAGCTTTTGAAGCCAGGCATCACCAGTACATGTGCCTGTAATCCCAGCTCTCAGGAGGCTCAGGCTGGAGGATTGCTGAGAGTTCAAGGCCAGCCTGGGCTACAAAGTGAGAGTCTGTCTCAAATCCCCCCACCCTCAGAAAAGAGAGAGTCCAGAGCTTTTAATAATCAGTTTTCCAAAATACTTAATAAGTAGTTTAGTATATGACCTTACCAGTAATATATTTCATTAAGGTAATTAACAGATCTATTAATACATTTATTATTGAAAGTAGTTTTCAGTTTCTTTTCACATTTATTATATACCTCTTAAGGAACAGCCTTCCTGGTTCTTTCAGAGAACTTTGTGTAATACAGAGCAGTAGAACAATTTCTAAGCTCTACTTAATTGCCAATTTATAATTTATTTATATTATATAGAATTTTAAAAATTCTGCTATCTAATAAATATTTTTGTACAAGAAAGAAAAAAGGCTAAGATTGATATGAACTGCATAAAACAGTTTTTTCCTGCTTTTCTCTTGAGTTAAAATATTGTCATTATCAACAAAATATAAAGGTCAAAGATTGTAGTAAATCATTTGTGATTCCAATACTTTCTGATATTGAAACATTTTTTGTCTTTCAGTTATTTAGATACCGTTCATCACGTGAATGTAAGCAGTGAGTGTAGTGTAGTGTAGTGTTTTGTTTGTTTTTGGTAGTGCTGAGAGTCACATCCAGAACCTTACACTTGCTAAGCTAGAGCTCTACCACTGAGCCACATCCCTGGTCCAGCAGGCATTCTTCTTAATTTTCAGTGGATTTCTAAGCATTTGGTATTTATGCCCTTGGTATTTTAATTTGATGTCATGTTATTTATTATTCAAACTGTTCATGAATAAATAAAATTCAGAGAGACTGTAGAAAATGAGTAGAATACTTTAAAATTTTACTAGCAGACACTAAAAGTGAATGCTTTTCTCATTTCAGAACTTTCAGCTAATACAGCTGCCTTTGCTAAAAGTGCTGCCATGTTAGGTAATTCTGAGGATCATACTGCTTTATCTAGAGCTTTGTCTCAGCTTGCAGAGGTTGAAGAGAAAATAGACCAGTTACATCAAGAACAAGCTTTTGCTGACTTTTATATGTTTTCAGAACTACTTAGTGACTACATTCGTCTTATTTCTGCAGTGAAAGTAAGCCCTGCTTTGCCATCTTTTTTGAATTCTTTTCAGTTGAGTTGTTTGCTTTAAAAAGAATTTGGTTTCCTATTAGCCATATAGTTAAATATGTAAATTCCATACCATACTAGTACTGTACATGTAAAATGGCTTCAAGATGAGTATTTGTAACTTAACATTTTCTTTCTCCATGACTTAAGTAGAGTAATAGACAAGATTAATGTTTTTAAGGGGCATAAGGAATGCCAAATAAGATAGAAAGCTTTATACATTTACTTAGATACTTGTATGTACAGATTTGTAACTAACTGCATTTGTTTAGTTGTTCTGCAATAACTGAAACTGCCTATCATTCATGGGGGCTGTAGCATGAATTTGGAGTATGTCATCAGACTTTCTGCCTGTGGGTCATCATGTGTATATAGATGAGATGGGGCTGAATTAAATCATAGGTTATATTCTATAATGGTAATGTTTAAGTTTAGATAGAACAATTTCTGAATAGTTGGGCAAATAGCCTAGTTTAAAAAATAGTATTCTACAGATATCTCTAATATTCAAACATTAAACAAAGCTAACCAGTCTATCATATGTTTCAGAAGATACCTCATGATGTTCCAGTATCTTTGAATTATTATGAGCATTAGTTATTATAGGATAGAGAGAACTGGGTATTTATCTTTTCCTTTGAACTCAAACATCTACGAAGTTGATGAGACCTTGTTCCTGGCTTTCTTACAGAAAATGTTTTCTGTGACCAAATTAGTATTTATCTACAATGAAAACATTGATACATTGCCTGTTTATTGATGATTTTATTTTCAAGGTAATGGAAACAGTTATTACTAGAGGACTCTTAGCACTTAAGACTAGTGCTTTCTTAGATATGATAAAGTTTACCAATTTTGATCCTGTTTACTTTTCTGTGATTTTTTTTTCTTTTTTGGTACCGGGGATAGAACTCGGGTCCTTGAGCTTGCGCAGCAGGCGGCAAAACCACTGAGCTAAATCCCTGGCCCCTGTTTACTTTTTTTGTAGCTCAGGATTAAACCTAGGCGCTCACACTGAGCTATATCTTCAGCCCTTTTTTTAGTTTTGAAATACTAAAGTTGGCTAGGCTGGGCTTGTATTTGTAATCCTTCTACCTTAGCCTGTCAAGGTGCTGAGATTACATGTGCATCTTCACCATACCTCATTAAATTGTGATTTCTTTAGTTAGTGTGAATTCAGTCATCTTTACAAATCATAAGCCATTTACATTTTTTCTGTAAGTGAATTATATATAGTCTTTTCTCAGTTTTTTCTGCTTTTTATCATATCTATTCCTAACAAATCCTTAATATTAATTGGACTTTTGTTTTATTCATATCAAGAGTGCTTTTCCAATAATAGTTTTGAAACTACTAGCACTTTGGCAATTAGCGAAGAACATCAGAAACTGAGGCATGATGAAAGAGATAAATGTTACCCATTTCAAAATATTCCCTGAGGCTGATCTTGTATCCAGGAAGCTCCTCTTTTTTGTATAATCCATGGCCTAATCTTAATCTTTGGGACTCCACATTTTAGTTAATGTAAGTGTATTGGGCTTCTGTGAACCACTAGAGTAGGGTCCAAGAATCGAGAGCAGTGGTTTTTGATGATTTTACTACTATAATTTTTTCAAGGGTTTGGGGGTGGCAGGAGGGGAAGGGGAAAGGGAAGAAAGGAAAGGAAAAATAATGAGAAAGAAAAAAAAATGGGGGCCGGGGATTTAGCTCAGTGGTTTCGCCACCTGCTGTGCAGGCGCAAGGACCCGAGTTCGATCCCCAGTACCAAAAAAAAAATGGAATCAAAGTCTGTGTAAATAGGGAAGGGTGGATGGGGTGAACGGCCCACAGGTAATGGGGAAAAAATAAGAACCAAGATACATCATGTTCAGGTACAAGCACCCAATGATAAATGTAAATGTATTGTATACCTAAGATGTACCAATAAATATATAAATTAAAAAAAAGATTTTTTTTTTTTTGGTACCGGGGATTGAACTCGGAACCTTGCGCTTTCGAGGCAGGCTCCGGACCCACTGAGCTAAATCCCTGGCCTGAAAAAAAGATTTTTGATGAGGGATCCTAAGTTATAAAATACATAAATATACATCCATATTATTTTATAAGTGTAATCATGTGGTCATATATATAACACTATTAAATGTGCCTCTCAAGGAGTTAAAAGCTTTGTTATTTGATACAAACATTCAGCAGCCTTTTAGAACCCTGGGAAGCTGGGCATCTTAACTTTGAGATTCACTGAATATGGTGACAAATTAAAATTACAGCATCAAATTTCTTGGTGGGTTAGGAAAACTGTTTCACACCTATAACCTTGGCTAATCTAGACCAACTTGCAAACAAATGTATACCATAAATTGGCAGGAGGGTGGGTATCAGTGTATGTGGTACTGGGAATGAAACCCAGGGGCTTGCACACTTTAGATAAAGGTTTAGCTAACACTGAGCTATAACTGAGCCCCTAAAGCCCACTGTTCTTCAATGTAGTATGTGTTTGTCTTTTAAACAGAACTCTATAAGAACATGTATTTATTTATTGCTTCTTTTTCTTTTTGGTACCGGGGATCGAACTCAGGTCTTGTGCTTGCACAGCAGGCGGTGAAACCACTGAGCTAAATCCCTGGCTCTGTTTATTGCTTCTTGATTGAAAAAATGTTTTACTGGGATTAAAAATAACTCTGGTGTAGTACTTTCTGGTTTGCCTAATTTATTAATGCTTGCTTCATTTGTTCAGTTAGTAAATACAGTATTTTCTAACATCAAGCTAAAAAAGGAATTCTTGGTGTATTTTCCCATCCTATTCATCATGAGTTGTTTTGGGAGGAGGGTTATTTGCAATGTTTGAGGCTGAAGCCAGGGTCTCGTCCATATTAGGCAAGTGCTATACCCCGCTGAGCTACACCCCAGCCCCTTCTCCCATGGGTTTTCATGAGGCTTACTGTCCTATGTGTGTATATTTTCATGTATACTTTCTCTGTACACTTGTCCTTGCTTTGCCAGACTCCCTAAAAGAAATTGTGGATTTAATTGACTTGTTCTGTTAGAATCTCTTTGTTTTTCTTTATTTAGTTCTCTGTGTTGTATATATGTAGATATTCTTTTGCCTTTTTCATCTTGTGTAGGGCTTTTTTTCCCCCTTCATTTTGTTAAGCATTTACTTTGTCTTTCTTTTTTTACTTGTTCTTGGAATCTGTTCTACCACATTTTTATTTCCGTTAACTGAGATTTTTTCCATCTTTTCAGTTTCTAATATGTTTCTAACATTTAAACCTACTTTTGATATTATTTAGTAGGAAAACTTCCAGTGTAGATACAACATCATTTTCCTGTTAGCATTTTCCCCTTTCAAGGCATAAAATTACTACTGTAAATCTTACAGCCACATTTAAGCTACTTAGGGTAGTAGCCAGGTGTAGTGGTGCATACCTATAATCTCAGTACTCCAGAGGTTGAGGCAGGAGGATTGCTCCGAGGTCAAGGCCAGCCTGAACTACATATTGAGACCCTATCTCAAAAAAAAAGACACCAAAAAAATAAAATAAAAATTTAAAATCTTAAGCTAGTGTTTTAAATGGACTTTGTTTTGCTTTTTACATTCTGAGTTACTATTTTTCATCCATAGTTTTTGTTTTAAACGAATGAATGTGGAAGTTTGCTCGTTATCGCCATGTTTATTTTTACTGCCTCAGTATATTAGGTTAAAATTTAAATATGTGGTTTTATTGCTGTCAATATCGTGGCACTTCTGTGTAACAGAAGTATTTTACAGTGTTACTTACTGTCATTATGTCATTCACTTATAGGGTGTGTTTGACCATCGAATGAAGTGCTGGCAAAAATGGGAAGATGCTCAAATTACTTTGCTCAAAAAACGTGAGACTGAGGCAAAAATGATGGTCGCTAACAAACCAGATAAAATACAGCAAGCTAAACATGAAATAAGAGAGGTGATTACTTAAGTGCTTTCTTACTCAGATTTTTCATGCCATTCATATTTGCATAATTTTTCATAAATTTTTTCTGAGCCATTCAACACAACTATTTCTCCTTATTTTTATGAACTGTTAGAATTACTTTAACATTTTGATCACCGTTAAAATCTCCATAAGCCCTTTTGTTGCCTTCACATGATTATAGAATGGATAAAGAAGCATACAAGAAAACAATATAAAATGAATCTTTACATTAATATTTGTTTATTTCCTTTTATATGGTTAATTTTATTTCATATGATTACTCATTTTGTGTCTGAAAATGGTTTTAGAGATTGACTTATCTCACATTTAGCTGTCCAGGTAACATTATTCCCCATATATATGTATTATATATGGTATTTTAATAAATTTATATAAGTTTACTATAATTTATACACTTTTTTTGCCATGCTTCAATAAGGAAATTGAAGAGGTAGGACAATGTTTATATTACTAAAAATAAATGTACCTGCTCTTTGAAGAGTATGTACTAGTGTTTTGATTACATGATGAGAAAAAAAAAAATCACTTCATTGCTTAAATCTTTAGTTACTTTATTTTAGCTCTTTCATTGGTCACTAATCACATTTTGTTGTTTCTGTACTGAATTTAGTGTTAACTGATGGGTTTTCAGCATACCATAATTCCACTTTTTTAAAAAAAACTTAGTCATTTTACCATTATAAAAGTGTTTTTTAGATGTTTGTCATTTTCCTGTTTTAAAGTATCTCCATGGGCATATATTAATGAACATGTATTCTTGAAATTAGTATTATCAATATATTCTCAAATAATGATACAAAAATGAAAAAAAATTGTGCAATAACACGCTGTTAGTTTATTTGATAGTGAGTTTTATGCTTAAAATTCTTCCTCTGTCATATCTAATTAAGCTGTGGGCATTGTAGTTCATCAAACGTTGCAATATTCTAATCTGAGGAAATCTAGCAGTGAAATATTAATGGAAATTAGGCTGACATGCATTTTACCAGTAGGAAATAAGGTACAGCTTTGATGCTAAGTTGGGTTTTGCCAGTATTGAGCCATCTTAGTGTTTTTAGGTATTATGTTTAAATTGAGTGACACAACAGCTGCTACTATAGTATTTTTCTTCACAAAATGAAATATTTGTTCTTTGTTTTTATTAAGTGGGAGGCGAAAGTACAACAAGGAGAAAGAGATTTTGAACAGATCTCTAAAACAATTCGAAAAGAAGTGGGCAGATTTGAGGCATGTATAATAATTTTCACTTTTGTCACATTTTGGTGCAATTTTATGGTGAATTGAATTTATTTTTCTGCTAATACACTTTTTGCATACATTATACTTAACAGAAAGAACGAGTGAAGGATTTTAAAACTGTTATCATCAAGTACTTAGAATCATTAGTACAAACACAGCAACAGGTAAGCTAACTCGATAAATTCTTAGATTTTGTTTTTGGCATATCTTCTCATTTTAAAGAAGATGACTAATGAAATAGGCTTTCAAATTCAAGAAGAATAAGACATAGACATACATTATTTCCAACGTCTAGCTATTCTAAATTGTGCTACTATAAACTTGGGTGTGCATGTATCCCTATAATATGATGACTTTAACTCTTTCGGGAAGATACCCAAAGAAGGGGGATAGCTGGGTCAAATGAATTTTAAATTTAATTTTTTGAGGAATCTCCAGACTGATTTCCTTAGTGGTTGTACTAGTTTACATTCCCACCAACAATGTAGAAGTGTTCTTTTTTCCCCACATTCTTGCCAGCATTTGTCATTATTGAGATTTTTTTTGATAGCCATTCTTTCTTGGCTAAGATGGTTGGGTTTTTTTTGTGACTGGGAATCGAACTCAGGACCTTGTGTTTGCCAGGTAGGCATGGCACCACTGAGCTATAGCCTCAGATTTTTTTTTTTTTTTTTTTTGGTACCGGAGATCTAACTCAGATCCTTGCGCTTCCGAGGCAGGCAGCAGAACCACTGAGCTAAATCCCTTGCCCTCCTCAGATCTTAAGATGGTATTTCAATGTAGTTGTCTTTTTTTGTACCAGGGATCAAACTTGGAACCCTGAGCTTGTGAGGCAGGCCACGGCACCACTGAGTCAAATCCCTGGCTCAGTGTAGTTTTAATTTGCATTTCTCTAATGACCAGAAATGTTGAACCCATTTTTTCATGTGTTTATTGACCATTTGTATTTCTTCTGAGAAGTATGTATTCATTTTGGTTGCTCATTTTTGAATGGGTCATTAAATTCGGGAGATCTAATTTTTTTGAGTTCTTTATATATCCTCAGTGTTAGTCCTCTGAAGAATAGCTGGCAAAATTTTTTTCTCATTCTGCAGATTGTCTCTTCACTCTTGATTTCCTTTGGTGTGCAGAAGCTTTTTTGATATATTCCCTGTCTTAGTTACTTTCTCTCGCTGGGATGAAATACCTGACACCCACAGGTTAAAGGAAAAAAGGTTTATTTTAACTCACAGTTTGTAGAGGTAGAGGTTTTAATCCACAGGCTGGCTCCAAGGCAGGGCTCCTTGGCAGAGGGGCACTGCAGAGGAGAAACAGTCTGTGGTGTTGCAGGCCAGAAGCAGGAAGCAGCCAGCAGCAAGATTGCCTTTCCCTTTATATTCTTTTCAGGCTACAAGCCTATTGGTTGGTTTCCACCCACACCCAAGGTGGGCCCTGCCATTATCCAAACCTAGAACTATGCTAAAACAATCTGGATTGATCCAGTTATTACACACCCATAATCTAGCCCTCTCCCAAAAGCCCCACCTCTAAGTACATGAGGCTTTGGAGGGACATCTACATATAAACTGAAACAATCCCATTTGTTTATTCTTAGTATTATTTCTTGTGCTACTGGGGCTCTGTTTAGAAAATCCTTGCCTACACCTATGTCTTCAAGAGTTGTACCTATTTTATCTTACAATGGATAGTTTGTTTTAACGTGTATCTTTGAACCATTTTGGTTTTAGTTCAGAGATCTTAGAAACATTGTATATGTTCACCAACAGATGAATGGATGAGAAAAAAGTGGTATTTGTACACAGTGGTATACTATTGTTCCTTAAAGATAAACTTGAGCCATAACCTAAAGATAAACCATTTGTAGGCAAATGGATGCAATTTGAAAACATGGTTAGTCAGACATGCGTGCTTCAATATCACATGGTTTCTCTTATCTGAGAAACTCAAAATATAACCACAGAGTGAGAAATAGAAAATAGATAAATAGGAAGTAGGGAAAAGTTCAAATAATTCTCCAGATTACCTATTTCATTGTTGAAAATATTTTAAGACATGCTGATCTGTTCCAATTATACTACTAGTTTCTCTAGTTTATTGTTTGGTTTTTTTTTCTTTCCTTTTTTTTCTTTAATACTGGGATTGAACTCTGGACCTTGTGCTTGTGAGGCAGGTGGCGGCACCACTGAGCTAAATCCCCTGCCCTGTTTTTCCTTTTTAAGGGAAAATTCTATTTTGTCTGTATCTACTTTAAAGATAATGATACATAATATATTAACTGTTGTTAATCTCTTACTTTGATAGTAAATTTTATTTTTTTTTAATAAATTCAAAAAAGAAGAATAAGAAAGAGAATAGAAAAAGCCAGATAATGCTGGAGATTTTTAGCTCAGTGGTTCCGCTGCCTGCCTTGCAAGTTCAAGGTCCCGAGTTCAATCCTCAGTACCAAAAAAAAAAAAAAAAAGCCAGATAACAAAGGAATAAATGATGATACAGTGGATTACATTCCCAAATCACCTGTAAAAAACTGCAGATTTCAAATATGGCCAGAAAATGCCTATAAATGCCTATTTTCATAGTTTAAATCCTAAATATGCTATGTCCGCTGCAGTTGTGTAATTTAATAAAATACTGTATTGGCTATAGTAACTTCCCATGATAGTCCACAGTTTCCCAACAGCAACCATTTTTCTCTTTACTCAGCCCAAGCTCGGTCTACAGAGCCAGTTTCTCCCCCACTCTTCACTTTTACTTTCTCTAATAAACTTTGCCACTGCTAAAAATAAGCAAATAAGATATTGTGTTAATAAAGCCTTATTAGGTGCAGGCATTTTGGTGGGCATTTTAAGAATAAAACCAAGAACACTCGAGATTAGCTACATGCGATAACAGCAACCTGTTAGGTGGGAATGCTGGTGCATCTGGGAGGTGGTTACAGGGCAGCAGCCAATCAGCAGCAAGGAGAACTGAATAACACTCTCAGACTGGCTACTTGCAAACCCCACCCCATAAAAACAATTGCAGAGATATTTGAAGTTTTCACAAAATAGCGGAGGTTTCCGCCAACAATTATTAGTTGGGTTCTAAGGGAAAATCCTAGAAGGACTGAGGCCATGAACTCTGAACCTCAACTTCATAGGGGTACACTGTATAACTAGAAATTATCTCAGGTCCATTTGCTTCTACTAAACAGTCAGAGATACATTCTTTCCCAGTGTTAGACTATAAAAACCCTCATAGACAACTATAATAGAAACTTAAAAAGTAAGATATTTTAAGGTTGGCTTTTTTCTTTTTTGTACCATTTTGATCTTTGTTTTATCTTGGGGTTGTTGGCCGAATGCTACAAGTGTCGTCAGTCTCCTTAACTAAAGAATATCAAACAATTTAATGATATATTAAGTAAAAAATCTGTAAAGAAGTTTTTTCTATATATTTTTATATAAATGTCAATAATCGAATTACATTTTGTGTCTTAATATAGACAAGCATTTATCTATATTTATAATATAATATGTGGATCTAGAGAGACTTGTCTGTATAAAATATAATACTTTGGATTTTTTAATTCAGAGATATTTAGTCTTCAGGCTATATTTAGGTTTTATTTAAATAGCTCATAAAGTCAGTGTGTGTGTGTGTGTGTGTGTGTGTGTGTGTGTGTGTGTGTGTGTGTACACCCAAATAATTCTCATAAGGTTTTTTGCCTGGTTTGGTTTTGACACAGGAGCTCACTGTGTAGTTCATGCAGGCCTTGAACTCATATTTATGTATCCTAGGCTAGCCTCGAATTCCCGACCATCTTCTGGCCTCAGCATCTCAGTGCTGGGAATAGAAGTATATGCCACCATGCATGGCCAACTAAGAAATTATCTTAAACATAACTTTAGTTTATACTTAAATAATCCTGCAGCTAATATTTTCCAGTCCCTTTTTTTCTTTATTGTTCAATATTTTGTTTTCTTTTATTTCATTCCTCTTGGCTAACAATAACAAAAATGCAAATATCCTATGTATTAGGTGATGCTACTACATCATGTTGGAAAAGGACCTCATAATTCCATTTTTTAAGCAAATTTTAAAAAATATTCGGTAACAATATTTTCTGTGTATAGTTTTGCATAAGTCAAAAAATATTCAGCCGGACATGGTGGCACACACCTGTGATCCCAGCACGAGGCTGAGGCACGAGGATTGCTGTGAGTTCAAGGCCAGCCTGGGATACATAGTGAGTCCAAGTCAGCCTGAATTACATAGTGAGACCCTGTCTCAAAAATAAAAAACCTATTATAGGTATTAAAGGTATTATATTTCTTAATAGCCAAGAGTTATTAATGTTTTAAATAATTTATATATGAATGGTCTTCAGGTAGGGAAGTAATGATTTCTTTGAGAACCAGACATTCTCCATAAATATCTTCAATTATTTTGTTACTTTTTTTTGAACCAGGAATCAAACTCAGGACCTTGTGCTTGCAAGGCAGTCGGCAGAACCACTGAGCTAAATCCCCAGCCCCTTCAATTATTTTGTTAATTTAAAAAAGAACCAGACATTAGTAAATGCTAGTCATTTTTTGATATTTATGTAAAATTTTATATAGAATTTTAAAATTGTTATAGGATATGTGCATTAAAATGACAAAGTTAATGAGAATATATTTTATTTTTATTATCATCCACAGCTGATAAAATACTGGGAGGCTTTCCTACCTGAAGCCAAAGCCATTGCCTAGCAATAAGATTGTTCCACTTAAGAAGACATTGGATGTTGCTCCAGTTATCCTGAACTCCACAATGAACTCATTTAAAACCATCCAAATAAACCACTATATATTTTATGAATTACATGTGGTTTTTTACATATAAATAAATATATATACACACGCACACACTCTGACATTTTATTACTGCTGCATGTCCTGTCTTTGAATTAAGTGGACTGTGGCATGACATTCTGCAATACTTTGCTGAATTGAACACTATTGTGTCTTAAATACTTGCACTAAAATGTGCACTGCAAGGCCAGAAAATTTTACAATATTTTTTCTTTATGTTCTGTAGTATGTTTACCTTCTTAATGAAATGAATTATCAATGCATTATTAATGTTCACTTTTACATTCCTGTACAGAAATTATGATTTTGTGATTATAGTAATAAAATGATATTCCTTGTGAAGTATTAGTTATAAATTATTTGAGTATGTAAACATATTAGGAATATTTTTAATAAGAAACTTTTCTAAATATATATTTGATACTGATTCCTTAAGTTTTCTTTTTCTTAAGTATTTTAATTGACAAAAAGATGAACTCATATGTCATAAAATGACTGAAACTTATAAGTTTACTTATGAAAACATAAAGAACATCTCTTACTGCCTTAAGAAAACAGTAATTGTCTTTGCCTGTCTCAATCTGCCCATTTTAAGTACTCTAAGAATTAGGAAGAAATTTGCTCATGTGTTTGTTAAAAATTCAATGGATTTTTCAAATTTTCTATTGTTATCTTCAAAATCCAAGACTTTGCGTGTGTTTAATTTACTCCTTTTTAAAAAATTTTAAAAGTAAATCACCTGTTACATACAGTCACAGCTGACACACAGTGGTAACATGCTAAAATAGAACATGATTTGATGAATAACCAAGGACAGCACAAATTTGAAGTAAAATGAAATTTCCTTTGTCTTTGGCAGCCTTTCTCCCTCCCCCCTTTTACTTTGAGACAGGGTCTAGCTATGTAGTTTATGCTGGCCTTGAACACACAGCAATCCTCCTGCCTCAGCATCCCTAGTGCTGGGATAACAGGTGTGTACCACCACACTTGGCTCTTCCCCTTTTTGTATTATGTTTGGGTTGCTGTATCTAGTCCTTCGTGTTGTTGAAAATTTGGTAGAGTCATAGTTACTTTCTTTCTTTTTTTAAGTATTGTTAAAAACATTCCTTTTTGCTGGGTGTGGTGGCACATGCCTATACTGCCAGCTGGATCACTTGAGCCCAGGAGTTTGGGACCATCTTGGGGTAGGGATTTAGCTCAGTGGTTCCATGCCTGCCTTGCAAGTGCAAAGGCCTGAGTTTGAACCCTGGTACCAAAAAAAAATCCCATCTCAAAACAAACAGGCAAAATCACACCCCTTTTCTTGGACTTAATGACCACATCTCCCTTCCAGAGGAGTAAGATACAGTGTGACTCCCCTCTAATGCTTTACTGGGCACAATTGACATATCACAGCATTCTTAGTAATTTTAATTAAAATGTTAAGACTGCTATAAAACATAGTCCTAGAACCCAGAAGGGTGCCTGATACATAGTAAGTTAATAATTAAGACTTGAGTAAGAAAAAAAATCTCAAGATGTAAAATATTGTATGAAACTGAAACAAATAGTACCATCTTATTGTTTCTGGTAGAAATAAATACTTTTGAGAAATAAGTAATAGTAATACAAAGCAGAGGCTGCCTTGTTGCTCCATTAAATATTGAGCAAGCCAGGCATGCCTGTAGTCCTAGCACTTGGGAGGTTGAGGCAGGAAGATCATTGCAAGTTCGAGGCCAGCCTGTGCTACCTGGTGAAACTCTGTCTCAAAAAAACAAAAACAAAACATAAATTGCAAAAAACAGGCTTATCAAGAATGGCAACTCACTGGAATGATGTCCTAGTTTTGTACATTTTACATATGGTGTAATTGTTCAAGCCAGAATCTCCCATTCAGCTATGGTATATTCACTAGTCTATTCCGCAGGTACCTGAGTGGAAAATACTTTGTCTTGATGAAGCTAAGGAAAGTAACCGGTCCAGACTTCATTTCTCTGGCTCACATTTATAAAGTATGAGTTGGAGATTTTAAGTAAATCATGCACCTGTGGTATCTACCAACATTCTGACAGGATTTAATGTTTTTAACTCCACTATGTTCATGTTTCTAAAATGCTTTCATTCCAAATAAAAGTTAATAATCTTAATTTTACAGATCTGAATTTAAGTATTTTTTTAATCTGATAAAGACAGCATAATATAGTGGAACAATCTGAACTTGGGATCATTCTGCCTTCAGTCTTGCTTCTATCAGTAGCTATATGATCTTGAATAGATCACATACATCCTGTCTGTAAAACAGTTGCATAAAACTGATTCTTGAAGTGCCTCTCTACCTGAAATATCAGTAAGGTCAAACAAGAACTAAAGGAAAATAAATACTTAAAATATGATTTCTAACATAAAAGTACATTTACTTGATTTCAGTTTTTTACTGGACTACTTTGAACTATTTAGTTTGTTTTATATATACTTATACTAATCTTATGCTATCTCAATTTCTTTATTCCTAAAACTTTATTACCCAGATCTAGTAAAATTTTCTTAGTTCTTTGTATGAATTGTTTAGTGGCTTTTAAATGTAAAATACATAAGCCTCAATATAATCAGCTTTCTTTAAAAGGAGTCAGATGAACAGACTAAGAAAAATAATATTCCTTTAAAAACTTACTAATTGTAATATCTAAAGGAATTATAAAGACTTCCCATATGGAATGTGAGGGAGCTAAGTGGTGACAACACCCCCCCCCCCTTTTATGTCCCGGCTCCCTCCCTGGGCAGTGGAGTCATGCAGAGCAGAAAGTTGGTGATATCGCTTGTGAGCAGTGTCTTGCTCAGCTGAAGGAGGGGTTGCTGGTGTGAGGAGGGAAAACAGCCGCTTACTGATTGTTCAGTTACTGGCTTAGAAACCAGAGACATTTCGGTTTCATATTCACTAGTCAAGAAATGTATGTAGAATCACCATTGTTTTTGTTACATAAAATTCAGAGTAAAATCATTTCTAGCCCTAACAGTGAAGGATATGATGTAAAAAGTGAAGGTAGGTAATTGGCATGGCCAGGCATGGAAATAACAAGAAAAGGGAATGGCAACAGAAGAAACGTAATTGTTAGCCTACCTTTGTGCTCAGGGCCATGAAGAAAGGTCATGTAATATGGAGATGAAGCCCTTGGGATTCAGAGCAATTGAAATGTAATGTGAAGTACACACACAGTTTTTTATATAGCCAAATTTTAAAAAGTAAAAACAAATGAAATTAACATTTAACCTAGTAGGTTCAAAATACTATTTTAAAACATACTGTTTTAACATGTAATGCTGTATTTTAATACTGTTGAAATATTTGGTACTTTTTAATTAAATCTTTGACATTTGCTCCATATTTTACACTTTCATCATTTCCACACTGTCCACATAAAAAAAGATTGTTGCCCTGTTATATTGGACAGCACAAGTTTAGGCAATGCTTATAGAAATAAAAATGGAAAGTCCCAATAGCTAATTTGTTTACCACCCACAGAACCCAATGAAGACATTGAACGTGAAAAACGACTCCTGTTGCTTTCAAGTCCAGAACAGTTTAGGTTGCTAAACTTTGTGTCTGTTTTTGTAAGAGTACTCATAGCCAGGGATTTAGCTCAGTGGTGCTGGCCCCTGCCTCGAAAGTGCAAGGTCCCTAGTTCGAGCCCTGGTACCAAAAAAAATGTACTCAAATATCTACTATTAATAAATTGTAACATTACTACCAGAAGGAAATTTACAGACTCTACTGTAGTACAGCCTCATTTTTCAGATAAGCAGGGGCAGAGCTTAGATCATGATGGAACCGATTTTTTCTGCTTAAATCTATCTGTTCTAGTTATGTAGAATTCTGAATCTGTGGGACACAGGGAATCTATTCAAACTTGCTTCAGAATCTAAAGTATAAAAGGTTGTAGAAAGCAGGGAAGTTATGGCTTGCTGTCTTTTTTAGTGCACGTGAAATTTTAAGATGCTCATTTTCCTTTCTTGTATCACATTTTTAAAAGTTCTCTATAGAATATTTAACAGTTTTTAAATCTGGGTAAAATGGAAACTTTACAATTAGAATCAAAGTGAAGCTACTCTAATACGTAGAAAATTTTAAAGGCTAGTTAATGGGTTAAATTATTCAAAAGGAGTACTTTGAGGGCAAAAAGGCTTATTTTAAAATTATATGTGTAACTGCTTAATAAAAGTTAAATTCAGACAGAATTTAACAAAACCTTCTTACTGCTTCCATAGTCAAATCTCAAGTTATCTTGATTTTAACCTATATTTTATTTTCTAGATCTTCACTTGAACTTATACGTGTATACAGTGTGTATATGTATACTTATATGTTTAAGTGCATGTATGCCAGCAGGCTTTTTTAAAGATTCTAAATTTTAGTTTTAAAGGTTTGCCAGTCTCCTGTAACTGAAACAAAGCCAAATGCTTATACTTTCAATTACATTCCTTAGGTATCCCAACAAGATCACCTCGAGTTAATTGTATTTCTGAGATACCCACCGGCTTCTACTGTAAGCATCAAGATCTTGGGACATTATCAGAATAATCTTAAATCTTCTGTGAAATACTATAATGTCTGTCTCTACTTTGCCAGTTGTACTACTGCCATGCTGGTAAATTAATCTTCCTGAAGAACTCTTGTTACAGCATTATATTCAGGAACCTTCAGTGGACTCCCTACAAATCTATCAGTAAGGTCCAGACCCTAACTGTTTCTATTTTCTACCTTCACTCACCTTTTGCTTTTATCATGAAACCTCTGTCCTGTGAGCATGCTTTATCCAGTCCTGGTTTACTGGTTTGTTAATGAGACCCCTTGAATTATCATTACCATTGTTACTTCTCCCTTGTAACAGCAATTGTTTAAATCTTACCCATCCCTTAAACTTTAAGGCCAAACATAAAGTCTGCATCTTAAATTTTTCCTTTTAAATATGTCCCTTAGCTAGAAAGAAGGAATTTCTTAGCAAGTGCTTAATAAATGATTAGCTATTGTGCATGTAGTGTACTGAGCAGTTAACAGAGCAAGGCACACTTGCATTTCTGTTACCAATCTTGTATCCTTGATTGGGGTTTAAATGCATTTACCAAGAAGTTTCCTGGGCCAGGAGTGTAGCTCAGCAGCACCTTGCCTGCCTTGTAAGCACAAGGTCCTGAGTTTGATCCCCGGTACAAAAAAAAATGTCCTTCCCAAATGAGTGTGCCTCTTGAGCTTGGGGGCTGAGGATCGGAGTTTGAGGGGGAAGAATTTTTGCATTCAGTTTGTAAAGTGTAGAGATACTCTACTGTAGTTAAAGAAGTGTAGTCAGTAACTGTTAGAGACCTTAAAAGGC